AGCGGGTCATAAGTACACTCATGGTGTCCCGTGTTAGGGCTCACCTGTTCCATAACGGGGAAGGTGTGAATGCCCAATTCCTCACCACACTTTCGTGCCTCTGTCAAAGCCAACTGGAGAGGGGAAAGTGGAACTGGTGCTGCACAAGGCAGCGGAGAGCGGTGGGAACGGCCCCCGCAGCTTCTCTTTTTCTTGCCAAGAAGCTTTAATTCTTCTAAAAGGTGTTCTAACACATCCTCCATATCACTACCCTCTACAGTTCCAGCAGAAAAATATTCTTCCTCCTCTTTTGCCTGAACAACACCTGTATCATCATCATGATAAGGGGCAGCTGCTTCCTCAAGATCCTCCTCATCTTGAGGATTTAATTCGTCTTTAAAATTTATATTATTCCTTTTTAATAAACTGTCTTTCTCAGACCCCTGTTTTGTGCCATCACACTGCTTCTTCTTTTTTCCTGGCTTAAGAGACGGTTGATTATGGTCATGCCTGGGGTCTAAACAATCCCATATCAAATTCCATAAGGAAAATGCATCAACCGGGGTCTCACTTGGCCCAAGGGCTTTATAATGATTGCACATTTGTTCTCCAACTTTCTGCCATGTTTCTAAGTTAACGGTTCCTTCCTCAGGAAACCAAGGGCAGACCTCCGGAATGAATTTTAAAAAAATTTCTACTTCTTGTCCTTAACCTTAGTTCCTTTACCTTTGAGCATAGACTTTAACATTTTCCCATAAGGGGCATTTTCCCGAGATTCTAACTGTCCCATGCTTTACTCCCGACTATCAAGAAATTGCTCCTCCCTTACCTTAATGAGTGCACTCTTTATCCGGAGGAGTTCCTCCCTGTCTGCTTCCCAAGTCCTCAGGTCCCTGGTCTCCGGGCGCCAGGTTGAACCAGGCTGAGGTAGGGAGGTGGGAATTGAGCAAAGAAAGAAAGACAGGAGAGCGGGATTGGGAGGACTGCAGCTCAATTGAGGAACTGCAGCAAGTTTATTAAGCACGCAATGCCTTTTATACACAAGACACTGAATAGGAGGTCTGTCAAGAGGAATGTATTCTTAGTTCATTTTAATCTCTAAGGGAGAGATAGAGTAAAAGGACAAATTCTTGGTACAGCAAATCTCAGAAAATAGTTAGACTTCTTGATAAGCCAGGAAAGGCTGTTCTCATTCTACAAAGGTTGCTCTCATTCTACTGATAACTGCCATCCAAACAAGTCTGGGAAAACTGTGTGGGTAAGGGTCCCAGCCTTGCTAGCCCCTTCAGGTGCAAGATCCGTGTCAGCTTACACCCGGTCTCCAACAGATATTTATCAATCAAAGGGAACAAAATGGTCCTCTTCTTTCCTTATTGGGAAAACATCCACCATGGCCTGGGCAGTGAGGCTTAATGGTAAGAGTGTCAGCCTACACACATGAAGGGTGGAGAATTAAATTCTTTGTCAAGGACAAGTACCTAGGTTCAAGGTTTAATACATGGAAACTATTGGGGGCTCATGCAGGTGAAATCCAGTTGATGTGTGTCTCTTCCAAGTTTCTCTCTCTCTCCATCCCCACTCTTCCACTCTGAATAATAATCAGTGGGAAAATATCCTCCTGTGAGGATTATGAAAAACAAAAATAGAACCATCTACCACCGCTACCCCAACAAGGGGCTTCTGCCTGCACAGCCCACTCCTCCTTATGCTCTCTTGCCTTTTTCTGGGATGTTCCCACTGCAGCTTGGACAAATTTTTTTTTTAATTTTGTATTGCTTAGAGTATTATATATGTCTCCTTTGGTTTTTCTCCCATTGACCTTCCCCTGGCCTCCCATACCCCGCAGTGTCTTGTGTCCATTGGTTATGCTTATATGCGTGCCACAAGTCCTTCAGTTGTTCTCTTATAGCCCTCCCCCACCCCCGAACCTTCTCCAGCCTTCCCGCTGTAGTTTGACAGTCTGTTCAATATTGCTCTGTCTCTGTATCTATTTTTGTTCATCAGTTTATAATGGTCTTAATTATCTATAAATGAGTGAGACCATGTGATATTTTTCTTTCATTGACTGGCTTATTTCACTTATCATAATGCTCTCCAGTTCCATCCATGCTGTTGCAAATGATAAGAATTCCTTCTTTTTTTCAGCACCATAGTATTCCATCATGTAGATGTACCAGTTTTCTAATCCATTCATCTGCTGATGGGCACTTAGGCTGTTTCCAGATCTTAGCTATGGTAAATTGTGCTGCTATGAACATAGGGGTGCATATATCCTTTCTGATTGGTGTTTCTTTTTTCTGGGTATATATTCCTAGAAGTGGGATCACTGGGTCAAATGGAGTTCCATTTTTAACTTTTTGAGGAAACTCTATACTGTCTTCCATAGTGGCTGCACCAGTCTGCAGCAGTGCACGAATGTGCCTTTTTCTTCGCATCCTCGCCAGCACTTGTCGTTTGTTGATGATAGCCATTCTGACAGGTGTGAGATGGTACCTCATTGTTGTTTTGATTTGCATTTCTCAGATGATTAGTGACTTTGAGCATGTTTTCATATGTCTCTTGGCTTTCTGAATGTCCTCTTTGAAAAGTGTCTATTTAGGTCAGTACACATCATAGCAACTGGTGGTTCCGCCATTCAGTCGATTTGCATATATTAGCCTTTTATTATATAGGATATTTTATTTTATTTTTTCAATATATTTTATTGATTTTTTAGAGGGAGGAAGGGCAAAGGATTGAGAGTTAGAAATGATAAGCTGCCTCCTGCACACCTCCTACTGGGTATATGCCCTTAACCGGAATTGAAACGGAGACCCTTCAGTTCGCAGGCTGACACTCCACTGAGCAAAATACACACACACACGCGCGAGTGCGCGAGTGGAAGTGAGAAAATGCACAATTAGCTAAATAGGGACTCTAGACAGCACCCACATTTAGGGATATATTTTGCGCAGTGCTTGGTGAGTGTGGCCACTCAGTTTATATCCACGGAATCAATGAAACTATGAGGGGGAGGAAGGAAGGATAGGAGAACCCAGGGGAGAAATGGCCATTTAGGTTTGAAGGTTAAGAATGTCCCAATGATGGACTCCTGGCCACCTCTCCCTGCTCTGCTTCGCTCCCCAGCTTCTCCTCAGGCACCACAAGTCTGTGCCTCTCTCCCTGCTCCAAAGCCCCAACTGAGTGTTTGCAATAGAAAAGTCCTGTGTTCTGCATTTAGAGAATAAAAACAAAAGCAAAACAATGAAACTGCTCTTTTGCATCTTCCTCCAGCACCGAGCTGTTTGGCCAGCTTTTCATGGGGCAGCCTTTCAGCGCTTTTATCTTGATTTGTTGATGATTGCCATTCTGACAGGTGTGAGATGGTACCTCATTGTTGTTTTGATTTGCCTTTCTCAGATGATTAGTGACTTTGAGCATGTATGTTGAAACTGGCTCCAGTTCCCCCAGAAGCCAGCTGCCCTGTGGCTTTTCCTTTACACAGTTGGATGTTACCCACTTTGTGAAGGGATGCAGCTTTGATGCAACACAGCTTTCTCCTCACCCTTTTGGCCCACTGGCTGGCTGTCCCTCTCAAGCCCACTTCCCAGTTCTTGCCGTACTCCAGGCATCCTCTGCCCTTCCTTCTTGTAAAATGTCTGCTCAGGTGCATGTAATTTGTTAATACCAGGAGGATATTCTTTGATTTAGTTGTATTTCCAGTCTGGCTCAAGACAAGATGCACAATACATCTGCCTATTCAGCCCCCATTTCTTTTATTTATTTATTTTTACTACTTTCTGATCCTTGTTGTTAAACCAGCCAGCCTGACCTCCCTACAGCTTGTATATGCACAGGGCAGGCTTCCACCTGGAGACTGCCACCGCTTCCCAGACTTCCTCAGTGAAGATCCCACTGACCAACACTGGTTTCACCTCCCCCCATAGCTGCTGGTCCATTCTCTGTGGACTATCCTCCACTAGATGCCAGTTCCCAAGGACAGGGGACTCTGTATTTGGGGCATCTGAAAAAGTTGGGCTCAACAGTATCCACAGCCTCAACACATGGCTGCTGAGCCTCCATCCAACGGGATTCAAGTTCTCATCCCTACAGCCTTCCCTCAGCCCACCCACTCAAGGAACCTGGCCCATGAGCTGGCAGGAACACATTCACAGGCACACAACCTCTCTGCCCCTCAACCAGACACCCCAGCAGCACACTATTCTCCAGAATCCAGGAACTAACCCCTCATTGCAGGTCTCCCATGCACAGGCAAAACTTAGGGAGGGGCACAATGACCACAACTCATCCTCCGAATGTGGAATTATATGAAGACCAAGCCAATCCTTCTGAAAATGCTTGTATTGCAGAATGTTCTCACCACTGACAATACACACTACCATATCCTGGAGAACCCATGCTATCTCCATGACTGGCTGGGTGAGGAGTGGGGGAGAGTCGTTCTTTAATTTTAATAAAATTAAAGTGAAAAAAATCTCTAAAGTGAAAATGAGACTTAAACACCAGTGGGTCTCAGGGGTGTGAGTGGGTTGGCTGGAGGCAGAACTTTCTAAATGTGAATTGATTTGGGGACCTGTAGCATCAGGGGGCTTCTCTCAGATACAGAACTAACTTCATGTGCAGCAGGCCAGGTGCCTGGGGGTGGGGAAGAGCAGGCTAGAGAGACCTCTGGATGGAGACAGAAGACCCCTGGCCAGCTCATCTTAGGCAGACACAGAACCCAAATCCCTCCCAGTGCCTTGCCTGGGACTCCTCTCTGCCAAGCCCTGGGAAGGATACAGTGTACCCAGCTGCAGTGGGAGCATCTGAGGCAAAGGCTGAAAAGTGAGCAGGACACCAGGGTGAATGTTTGAGTTTTTTTGGTAATCCTCATCTGAGAATATTTTTCCATTGATTTTGAGAGAGAGTGCAAGGGAAGGGAGAAAGGAAGAGAGAGACTGAGGGGGACATCAATGTGAGAGAGAAGAAAAAAATTAGATGCCTCCTACATAGCACAACGTGGGCTGGGACAAACAGGCAAATTAGAACCACAAAGTCATGCAGTCTTTATTTCAAGGCCATGGGCAGCAATGCACTATAAGCCAATTGGTCAAAGAGTGATTTCCTGGCATGATGCTGTCCCTCCTAAAGCAAGAAAGGTTGGGAACCACACAATATCTGTTAACTCTATGATGATAGATCATAATTGTGCTTGACAATCATCCCTGGAATTGAATATAACCAAAATAATTAAAAGTACAAAAGAAAAACACCTTTAATAAAAGATCATAAACCAGACAGAGGACAGCAAGTGGTTCGCAGGTTGGTGAATCAGAACCTGGAACAATTCATCACAGCATAATGTGAGAAGCACATGTCCCTGAAAGAGGCAGCACTTCTTAGTTGAGGACGGGTGCCCTGGATGAACCCTGGGTCAGGTGCATTACCTCCACAGAGATAAAGGAATGAAGATCCTGTCAGGAGCTGGAATAATCATCATGTTCTCAAGCACAAGAGAGAACACAGAATACATTTCCCCTGAGCACACAGGGGTTGGGACTGATACACAGTCTTCAGGTGAGCCAGGTGGTAGAGGGGAAATCTCTTCAGCCACAAATCAATCGGGTAGAAGATCTGTGCATGTTACCAAGTGCAATGCACTTCTTCAAGCCTCAGTTGTATTGGAAACTTATGCGGAATCTAGTACAGTGTATGTCCCATTAAAAGGGTTTAAATTCCGGAAAATAGGTCCCAAATAGTGGCCGTCAGTGTTATTATTAAAGTGAATAAAATAAAACATTCTCTGCACATTTAACACTTCTCTCCACTGTGACCTCTCAGATGTTTAATAAGACTAGATTTTTCTCAAAAACACTTCCCACATTCAGTACACTCATATGGCTTCTTTCCAGTGTGAACTCTCTGCTATTTAATGAGTTTAATTCTTTCACTGAAGGACTTCTCACATTAGGTACACTGATATGGCTTCTCTCCAGTGTGAACTCTCAGGTGGCTAATAAGGTTAGATTTTTGGCTAAGAGACTTCCCACACTCAGTACACTCATACGACTTCTCTCCGGTGTGGACTCTCTGGTGTTTAATGAGTGTGCTCCTCACACGGAAGGATTTCCCACATTCAGTACATTCATATGGCTTCTCTCCAGTGTGAACTCTCTGGTGTTTAATGAGTGTACTTCTTTCACTGAAGAACTCTGCACATTCAGTACACTCATATGGCTTCTCTCCAGTGTGAACTCTCTGGTGTTTAATGAGTGTACTTCTTTCACTGAAGAACTTTCCACATTCAGTACACTCATATGGCTTCTCTCCAGTGTGAACTCTGAGATGTCTAATAAGGTTAGATTTTTGGCTAAAAGACTTCCCACATTCAGTACACTCATGTGGGTTCTCTACACTGTGAACTCTCAGATGTTTAATAAGCTTAGATTTTTCACAAAAAGACTTCCCACACTCAGTACACTCATATGGCTTCTCTCCAGTGTGAACTCTCAGATGATTAATAAGCTCAGATTTTTTGCGAAAAGCCTTCCAACATTCAGTACACGCATATGGCTTCTCTCCAGTGTGAACACTCTGGTGTTTAATGAGTGTACTTCTTTCACTGAAGAATTTTCCACATTCAGTACATTCATATGGCTTCTCTCCAGTGTGAACTTTGAGATGTCTAATAAGGTTAGATTTTTGGCTAAAAGACTTTCCACATTCAGTACACTCATATGGCTTCTCTCCAGCGTGAACTCTCTGGTGTTTAATGAGTGTACCTCTTTCACTGAAGGACTTTCCACATTCAGTACACTCATATGGCTTCTCTCCAGTGTGAACTCTGAGGTGTATAGTGAGGTGAGCCCTTCGATGAAAGGACTTCCCACATTCACTACACAGATACAGCTGTTCTCTAGGGTGAACTCTGTTATATCCAATGATGTTAAAGATTCGTCTAAAAACTTTCCTACATTTGTTACACTCATAAATCATTTCTCCAGAATATGCACCCTGACATTGAACAACTTTCAGGTTGTGGCTGGCAGCATTTTCACAGTCACCCCACTGGTGATGACTTTTTTTATCAAGAAATCCTGTGAAATCTCACTGCCACAGTGTAGCTCCTCAGTTTTGAGAATGGCCTGGTGCTGGGGAAGCTCTGAGTTGCATTGCAAGTCTTCCCCAACCTCCCTGCTGGTTGAAGGCACCGAAGATAAGTAGATGCTGCACCTGCTCACATAGGATGCCCTGACCATAGCTTGTTTCCAGGGCTCCTCCCCACATTCATTCCTCTGTTCCTGGTGAGGGTTTGCACTAAAATAGAAGTCTCCAAGACATGCATCAGTACAGAAGGCTTTCTGCTCAAAGTATGCTGCATGTGACCCAGTCAGGTGAAAAGTATGTTGTAACACAGAGAAACAGCGCTTACACAGATGGGTCTTCTGGGTGTCTGCAGCTTTCTTAGATGCCCTTACTTGTGACTCTACTCGTATAGATACACTGTCATCAGAACAGGCCTCCTCATCTTCCATTTTATGCCAACAACCTGAAAAGTGAGAAATGGTGAGGAAATGAATGTTGAATGTGGTGACAGGGGGAAGTCTGGTTACAAGAGTGTGTTACACACACAAGTTGGTTCCATGCAATTGTCTGAAAATATGAGATGTGCAAGAAGGATTAATAAGAGGCTCTTGTGACTTTCTGGGCTAATGAAGATCACAAAATAGGAAGGCCTCTGCAGAAATATGTCACAAACATGGCAAGCACTACATGGATTAGAATATGGATCTCCAGCTAATCTTTCAACTAACAAAATTCAACACAGCTTGCCTGCTGGGGACTGGGACGAGCTGTGCAAGGTTTTGGCTCCATCTTGTTCCAAGTAAAATTCAACAAATGAGTAGCTGGTTTTGAGGATTACTTAGCACGTATGTGCATGTCATAACACATGTGCAAGTCAATGTTGCAGAATACTGCAGTGGCACCAATGCAGAGAAACAGGTAATGAAGAAGTGAGCAGTCAGCACTTGGCCAGAGCAACACAGCTTGCTATATTATTCAGGGAAGAAAATATAACAAAAAATTGAATGGGGGCCTTACAAGAACAGCCCATGGTTCATGTAAGTAAAGACCATAACATGACACAAGCTGCCACAAAGAACCCTTACCTAGAGAAAGAGTGCAGAAGTTGAAGCCATGCATGCGGACACTGTCAGCCTCCCATGAAGAGAAAGTGCAAGCTGGAACCCATTAAGCTCAATGCAAAACTCCTGACTCCCTAACACTTCTTGCACTTTTTGAGGTTACGGGTGTTAGTGATGTTCGTGGAGTCCTTTGCTCAGGGTTCCCCATCCAGCTCATCCCTGGAAGCCACAGCACGTTTGACAGGAAAGTGGGAAAAATTAGCAGAGGCAATGTTCTGGCTGTGGGAGAGGGAAAGCTACTGCTGAGGAATAAAGGAAGAGAGGGCATCACCTCAGGACACTGGGAGAATGTGAAGGTCTTACCTACAGATGATACAAGGGCAAAAACTTCCTGCATCACATGGAAGTACAGAAGTCTCTGAGCCTCATCAAGGAGCCCCCACTCCTCCTGAGAGAAGGCAATGGCCACGTCCTCAAAGTTTACATCCTGTCATAATGGGGACAGTACAGCCCATGATCAGATTCACTCCTAAGATTGTAAGTCTGTCATACTCCCCACCCTCCACACCCATCTGCTCTTTTCACACTACACATCAGAGAAAATACCAGGTCTTCATCCCATGAAAGGCACTGTCTTCTTATTTTCCTGCTGATATTTTTCTTCCCACAACAACTAAGACAGTTGAGCAGATAGAAGATACCTGAGCTCTGGACCTCCCTTATAATACAGTGGGAGTCAAAAGCATAGGCTAGAGAGGGATGTTGGCCATAGAGAGAGTGTGAGTGATTTGATACTGATCTTCTCAGGAAATAGCCTTAATGTCCCTACGATTGTTTCTCTAAGACACCAAAAACATGGCATCACAAATCACCCTCTTGACCCCAATCCCAGGGTGCTGAGGCCATCACTTTTCACAATCTACTGCACATAGTTCCTTGAGCAACACTTCTCTCACACAGCTTCATTCCCAGAGGCACTACTTCAAAGGTAATTCAAATATATCTTGGCATGGTTAAATTTTTTCCTAATCACCATCTTTTCCAAAAATATAGGTCACCACCTCCATAATCTAGTTCTCTCTTTCCCTTCTTCCTTACCCACGCCAGTGGAGATATACAAGACTGGGTAACACTGATGAATGCTACCTCATTCCCATCAACCAGTGAGTCATTCCCAACAACAAAAGGCAGGTGGTTAGTTCGATGGCACCTAAGCTCTTAACCTAGAATGTAGCACCCACACACCTCTCTTTCCAGGAAATTACCCTAAAATTCACCTTTTTGTATCATCCATGCACCACCAGAAATGGATACTTTCTTCATTCACTATTATGTCAATGTGAGGGTGTTGTGGCCATGAATTCACATTCCCTCTCCAATCCCTCTCTCAAACCTGCACTTCCACAACCCCAGCCCCCATACTCATCTCCTGGCCGTTTACTTATTACTCAACATGTGTGGTCCAGAGGATGGTTGTCAAATTGAATCAGAATCTAGTACTGCCAAGACTCTGATAGTCCAAACTCATAGAGGCATCCTTGAGTCATGCTAGGTAGGCCTCTCTCCATGACTGTTTTTTTTTTTCCTTCAGCCTCAACTATTAAGAATCAGATCTCAGATATCCATAGTCCACCTCCTGTTATGCTGCACTTGATGTCCTTTCACTAGTCACAGCCAACATCCCTCACTTAACTTTCACTCAAATCCCAGCCCCGAAGGCCCTCTGCACTGTTCCCAGTGAGTTGCACAGATGATGAGTCAAGCTCTTAGCTAATCCACAAGACTGACGGAAACTCTCAACAGCCAGGCCACACCAAAGGTCACAAAAAAATCCTGGTGAGTTTAGAAAAGGTGGTATGTACCAGCCCTAGTTTCATCTATTTTGTAATTGTCTGAATTACTCTCTGACCTCCAATTAATCTCAGGTCCACTCATCTTTTTAAGGTATTAGCCACTGCAAAACAATTCTCTCTCCCCCACATTCTATATGACAACTTCTGTCCCTATGCTGTGTTGTGACACCCACCTCCAACAAACAGTCGCCCCCGCAAGAAATTCCTCAGGCCCTAACTGGTTTGGCTCAGTGGATAGAGTGTCGACCTGCAGACTGAAGGGTCCCAGGTTCGATTCCAGTCAAGGGCATGTACCTTGGTACTCTTTATCCTTCTCCCTTCCTCTCTGTAAAAATCAATAAAATATATCTAAAAATTTTAAAAGCCAGTCTTCAGGCTCACACAGTCCCTTATGAGCTACTACTACCATTACCATCCTGACTATGATTCCCTTTAAAAAAGTGCTCTTCAGTTCTAGCTGATGTATCTCATTTACTTGAGCATAGTTGCACGGACTGCAGAGAAACGGCGAAATAAGGGGGATGGATACAGACTCTGAAGAACGTGGCACGGCCGAACACTGATCGTTAAAACGCAACGTCGATGTCACCAGCTTCGTTGCCAACAGCGTTTGCATGCCCAGCATGT